TTGCTGGTTTGGGGTATCAGAGGACAGAATCCGAGGCTGACAGAGTAGCCAGATGTTCGGCTGGGAGGAACTCCTGGCTGGGAGCTCCCGCCAGGATTGAGGCACAAAGTATAATATAAAATCCACCCTAATCTTTGGCGGACAGCTGAATTCTACATACGTGCTGGAGAGCTGAGCTGGCCTGGCACAGAAGCATCAGCGGGAAGATGAAAGGACTGACCGACACTGTAGCTGCTGACACTGCCGGAGAGACGTATTTTGAGCGTGGGTGCAGCCAACCTAAATGCCAGCCAGAACAAAATCCATTTTCCCAGGAACACCGCAGAGTCTGGGGTCTCATTAATGCATCATTCATAGTGTCCACTATGCAATCATGTTATGAAACCAGGAAAGTGTGTCTGTATTCAAGAAAAAAGGCAGTCAGCCTGGCCAGTTTGGCTCAGTGGTTGAGCATCGGTCCGTGGACCAGAGTTGCGGGTTTGATTCTGGTCAAGGGCACGTACCTCAGTTGCAGTTGAGTCCCCAGCCCTGTTCGAGGTCGTGCTGGAGGCACCCAATCCATGTGTCTCTCTCACACCGATGTTTTTTTTTCTCTCTTCTTCTCTCCTTCTCCCTCCCACTCTATCTGAAGATAGATGGAAAAATATCCTCAGGTGAGGATTTAGAAAAAAAAATAGTCAATAAAAACTGACCGCAAGACAACTTAGATGTTGCAATTAGCAGACAGCACTTTAAAGCAGCGATTAGAAATATGTTTAAAACCTTATATATAAAGGGAAATATATATATATAAAATAAACAAATTGAGAATCTTAGAAGAGAAACAGCAACTATTAAAACAAATAAAATGGTAACTCTAGAGCTGAAAGATACAGAATTTGAAACTTTAAAATTTATCTCAAGGGCTTATAAGCAGATTGGAAATGAAAGAAGCAAGAATTAGTGAATTTGCCCCAGCCAGTGTGGCTCAGTGATTGAGCATCAACCCATGCACCAAGAGGTCTCTGGTTCAATTCCCGGTCAGGACACATGCCCAGGTTATGGGCCCAATCCCCAGTGAAGGGCATGCAGGAAGCAGCCAGTCGATATTCTCTCTCATCGATGTTTTCTCTCATCGATGTTTCTGTCCCTCTCTCCCTCTCCCTTCCTCTCTCTCTGAAATCAATAAAGAAAAAATATTTTTTAAAAAGAGAGTTAGTGAATTTGCATAGAAATGATCTAATCTGAAGAAACAGGAGGAAAAAAATAAGAAGGAGCCCCCAAGACCAGTGAGATGATATCACGTGGTCTTACACGTGTAATTTGTGTCCCAGAGAATAAGAGTCATAATAGTGCAGAAAAAGTATCTGAAGAAATAATGGCTTGAAACTACCAAACTTCAGTGATGCACATCATTTTACAGACCAAGATTAACAAGCTCCAGATAGGACAAATAAAATCAAAACCATACCTAGGCACATCAAAATTAAATTACAGAAATCTGAAATTAAGGAATAACTCTTAAAATCAGTCAGATAGAAACCAGATTGCACACAAGGGAAAGATGGTATAAATAATTGCTTTCTTTTAATGAGAAACAACAGAGGCCAGAGGCAGTGCAACAGCATTTTAAAGTCCTGGAATAAAACTATCAATCCAGAATTCTATAGCCAGTCTTGAAAAATGAAAGTGTAGTTAAGACATTTTCAAATAAACACTTGCATCACAAGAAATATTAAAGGAGGTTCCACAAGTTGAAGGGAAATGTTTCCATAGCATAACATGAAGGTAATGGAAGGACTGAAGGCCACTGGAAATGATAAATACAAAAGACTATATATTACTTTCTTCTCTTAATTGTTTTACATGTGTCTGTTCCAAACAAATAAAAAAAGACTGTAACACTGCCTTATGGAATGTATAATGTATGTCATATATACATTACAACAATAGAACAAAGGATAGAGAGGCAAATGGAAACTGTTGCACATATATACACATATGTATATGATACATGAAAAATACAATTTGACTCCTAGGCAGATTGTGATAAGTTTAAGATGCATATTGCAATCCTTAATGTAACCATTAAAATGCAAGAGTTAGCCCTGGCCAGTTTGGCTGAGCAACTAGGGCATCGGCCCATGGACTGAAGGGTTGAAGGTTTGATTCCCAGTCAAGGGCACGTACCTGGGTTGCAGGTTCCATCTTTGACCCTGATCGGAGTCATGCAGAAGGCAACCAATCGATGTGTATCTCTCACATCAATGTTTCTCTCTCTCCCTCCCTCCCTCCCTCCCTTCTACTCTATCTAAAGATCAATGGAAAAATATTCTCAGGTGAGGATTAAAAAATAAAATATAAGAGTTAGAGCTAAAATAGAGAAGATTAAGAGGCAATATTAAAATTATTCAACTAACCCAAGAAGACACGAAAGAAAGAACAGATGGAACAAAAGAAAGGTGTGATGGATAGAACAAAATATTAAGTGGCACATTAAACCCAAGCCTATTAATAAATACATTAAATTCAAAGCATTAAGTGTTCCTTTGAATTTAAGAAGACAGTAATTATTAAAATGGGTGAAATAGGAAATGTCATTTATGTGGTGTACAGGAAAGAGCTTGAAATACAAAGTCAAAATAGCTTGAATGTAAAAGGATGGAAAAATATGTACCATGCAGACATCATTAAAATTCAAACCAATGCTGCCCAGCTGGTGTGGCTCAGTGGACTGAGCATCATCCCATGCACCAAGAGGTTGCTGGTTTGATTTCTGTTCAGGGCACATGCCCGGCTTGTGGCTCGATCCCAGGTGGGGGTCATGCAGATGTTTCTCTCGCATCGATATTTCTCTCTCTCCTCCCTCTCCCTCTTTCTCTAAAAAAATCAATTTAACAAAACAATGCTTACAAAAAGATATTGTTACAAAGATGAATAGACAACCTACAGAATGAGAGAAAATATTCACAAAAATACCTAATAAAGGACTTTTATTCAGAATATAGAAAAACTCCATACAACTCAACAATAAAAAGATAACAATCCCAGTAAATATAAAAATGGGCCAATACTTGAACAGATACTTCACAAAGGAAGATATATATGACTAATTAATAAGTACATGGAAAACTACTTAGTATCATTAGTTAACAAGGAAATGCAAATTAAAACTACATTGAGATATCGGTATATACCCATCAGATTGGCTAAAACATCAAATGTGGCAAGGATGTAATGCAACCAAAATGCTCATACCTTGAGAGAGATAAAATACTACAACCACTTGGGAGGAATTTTTAGTAGTTTCATATAAAGTTAAATATCTACTCTTGGCCCAGGAATTGCACTTCTGGGTATTTATATAAAAGTAATGAAAATACATTCTGCAGAGATTTGTACAAAAATGTTCCTAGCAGCTTTATTCACCCAAGAAAGCAAACCGAAAACATCCAAGTGAACATGAACAGGAGAAGGGTAAACAAACCATGGTGTTTCCATACACTGGACTACTGCCCAGCAATGCAAAGGGACAGATTACCAATACACACGGCAGCATGAATGAATCTCGGGTGTTGTGCTAAGCAGGAGAAGCCAGACACAAAAGAGTACACACTACATGATTCTATTTCTATGAAGGTCTACATTGAATCTAATGGAAGGTGAACGTTCAGAGATGTGGTGTGGAGAGTCAGCAGATTGACTGGGCTGGGATACAGGGATTTTGTGAGAAATGGGGTTCTGTATTGTCATAAAAGTGTGGCTTACATGGGTATATCCATTTTTCAAAAATTGACAGCTAAGATTCTGCATTTCAAAATATATGAATTTACACCCCCCCAAACCTGTAAATCAATAACAATAATAATAAAGTAGGTAGTGGCAATTGGGCAGCTATATTGATAAAAAGAATAGTAGATTGATGCTAATTAATTGTTGCAACTGGGTGATGGATACATAGAATTTTATTATAATATTCTATTTACTTTGTATATGCTCGAAATTTTTCATGAATAAAAAGTTTTAAAAATTATTACAACTTCAATTTTAAAATATATTTACTTAAATTTAGAGATTTTTTTAAAAAATGATCATCTTCTGTGTTAAAGAAATATTTCATTCAGCTATATTAATTCTTTTTGTTTCAATTCAGTTTCTTTGTTAGTTTTATTCAAGTAAAATTAGATTTAGAACTTTGTATTAAAATACCTTTTGAAAATTATTACTGTCAACCTATCAACCATATGCATAGAGATGTCTGAAATAATGTTTGTAAAATGTTAACTGGTTAGATTTAGGTCATGGTATTTGGGGTAAGTTTTACTTTCTTCTTTTTTTTCCCAACAACAAATTATTTATTTTATTTTATTTTATTTTATTTTATTTTATTTTATTGTTTGGTACGTGTCCCTAGCGGGAACCGAACCCGGAACTCTCTGGTCTGCAGGCCAGCGCTCCAACCGCTGAGCCAGGGCTTACTTTCTTCTTTATGCTTTTCTGTATTGCTGAAATGTTATAAACATGTATTGTTTTTACAAAGGCAGATTATTCTTAAAATTCTTAAATATGTATAACATAAAGTTTTTTAGGTAATAAGAGTTTTCTATACTAAGTAATCCAAATTTTGTCCATGGGCATGGATTTTAGCCCTATTTATAAATACCCCTGCCTTGAGGGTTCTTACAATCTACATCACTTGTTGAGCTTGCGTGGTTTCTGGATGGGTACTTGCCCAAATGCTTTGTCTTTGCTTGTCCCAGAAAATGAAAGAGAGAAAAGAAGCTATGACCCCGACTCCTCTTGTGCTGATGAGATGTGTCAGGTAACAGAGACCACTCGAGGTGTGTGTGGGTGTAGAGGAGACTATGTGACCATTTTTAAGAGAAAATTCAAGAGCTTCTGCCATTGTCTTTATTTACTATACTGTCACCTAATACTCAATTCCTACTGTCCTCCTGGCTGCGTTGTGATAACCTCTATGAGGGTCTAAATGTGGATTTTTTCCTGTTTAATAACTTCAGGGGATCAGTATTGTGGAGGACGCCTTGAAAGACCTTCCGGCTCTTTTAAAACCCCCAACTGGCCAGACCGTGACTACCCCGCAGGAGTCACTTGTTTGTGGCACATTCTAGCCCCAAAGAACCAGGTGAGAGCCCCTGAGAACGAAGCATCTGTGTGTGAATGCCTGGACAGGGTGAGGGCTGCTGATGCAGGGCGAGGCGGGCCAGCTGAACACCGTCTTCCCGATGCAAAGACCCAGATTCACACTGCTCTCGCACTTCCGACCCGCAGAGCCATGGATTCACTTTCCTAGTCCCTAATTTCAAACACAGGTGTTGAAAATACAAATGGTAAGCAAATCCCGTGTGAGAGTGTTTACCCCTGTGGAAGATGTCATAAACCGCAGCCACGCATCATGGGAGATAAAAATCCCCCAGTCCATGTATGTATGTTTCAGGTTACCCTTCGCTCACATGGCAAACCCGTCCCGTCCTCAGAGTAGCCGTCCCAGTCACCAAATCAAACAGCCCGGCTGCGTTAGACGAAGCCAGTTCCAACAGGCCTCACGGTCTCTGCCGAGAGCGAGTGGTCTGCTGGGAAGCGGGTTCCTTTGGTTGGTGTCGGTGTTCATTCGTGAGTGGCTGTGTGAACATGTACCCCTTCTGGGACCCACTTTCACATGTTAATTGCTGGCAGAACCAGCATGGGAACAGACCACGCTTGCTTCATGGATTTTGAAAATAACTCACTCCACACTTTCGTAGCTGTAAGTTGACAGAGCTCCGAAATTTAAGATCTTAACGATGATTGATCTGGGATTGAGATGGTCTTATGGAATGATTAAAAATGAAAGCAAAAGAATAGCACAAGAAATATGAGTGCCACAAAAGAAATATGAAAACAAGCAAGAATAATTTAAACAGAATGAATACATTTTTTACAAAAGAAAACCATGGTATCCTACAAATCTGGGGATGGGAAGAATTCCCTTTGAGGCGATTCAGCAGTGCCCCTTTTGACCCTTCTAATATTGTGCTTTCCCTAAAGCTTATAGAAGTGAAGTTTGAGAAGTTTGATGTTGAGCGTGATAACTACTGCCGGTACGATTATGTGGCCGTGTTTAATGGTGGAGAAGTCAATGATGCTAAAAGAATTGGAAAATACTGTGGTGATAGTCCACCTGCGTAAGTAGCACCTGCTGTATTTCAAAACTTCTTTCTTCTTTTTTTTCTTTTAGTCTCACCCAAGCATATGTTTATTGGTGTTTAGAGAGAGAGAGAGGAAGGGAGATAGAGAAAGAGAGAAATACCGATTGGTTGCCTCCCGTAGGCACCCCGCCCCGGGATCAAACTGGCAACCTGGGCATGTGCTCTGACCGGGAATCAAACCACAACCTTTTGGTGTATGGGAGGATGCTCCAACCAACTGAGCCACCAGGTCAGGGCTCAAAACTTGTTTCTTATTAAATTGCTCAATTATATTTTATTTTCTGAAAAATTTTATGTTGTTATTCTGTTCACGAATTCCTGGGTTCCGTGACAGTGAGTCAGCAACCTTAACAAGTGTGGAGAGACCTCAACAGCCAAAAGGATAAACAGAAGCAGAGCTGGCGATGCCCAGGGGCACATGCTGAGTCAGGGACATGGTTATGTCACTGCCCTGCAAAGGTGAGGTCAGGCATCAGAGCAAAAGGGAAAGTTCTGAGAAAAAAATGGGGCTTCCTGCTAGGGACCCTGACAAGGAAACCAGGAAGCCAACACAGACCCAGGTATTTCGCCTGATCGGTCGTGTCCTGGAGCGTTTGGAGCCTTGAGCTCCTCCGCACACGGTTGTTGCTCAAATTTTGGTGTGAGAACCTGAAAGGTACTTGTCAGAACATTTATGAAGCTAAGAGCTCTGCCACCTACTAGCTGTGTGACACGGGGCACGATACTTAACTCCTCTGTGCTGTATTTTGGTGCAACACATGACTGTTTGGTGCGAGAGCTTTCACAGCTTCATACAACTAAAAATTGAAAGACAGATCTACAAATCCCACTGTTACAGTAGGGGATCTTAAACACATCTCTTTCAATAATTGGCAGATTCACTGTGAATTACAGAAAGATGGGAATAGGGATGCAGAAAATTTAAGAAACAATGAACAGGCTTGTTCTGATGGACAGAGAACACTGCATCCAACAATAGGGAAAATACATTTTTCAAGAAAAATGGACACAACTTGACTTGGGTGGTGAACACACTATGCAATTAATATACAGGTGATGTAGAATTGTACCTAAAATCTACATACTTATATTAACCATTGTCACCCTAATAAATTCAATAAATAAATTTAAAATAAAAGAGCGATACAAATAGGATAATATATAGTCTCCCCCAGGCCCAAAATTTTGACATTATACTTAATGGTAAAGGTTAACTTTTATTTCAATTAAAATACAAAAGTCACTTTTTAAAATACACAGAAGAAAGAATAATCCAGAATTGTCAAATAATTATTAAAGAAATTTGATCTCTAGCTAGAAGTTATCATGAGGGGGCGGGGACAGGCCCAGAGTGCACCTCCTCATGGTTCTAACCAGCATTCGGGGAACAAATCATTTCATCACTACACAGATTCTCCCAGAGAAAAACACGGACAGTTCCACACTGATTTTATAAGGCTCATATAAAGACACCAGACCTAGGTAAGGACAGTATCAGAAAAGAATACCAAAGACCAATCTCTACTTGTGAATGTGATGGAAATGAAATTCTAAAAGAAAAAATATTACCAATGACATATTTCACAGAACTAGAACAAATACTCCAAAAGTTTATATGGAACCAAAAAATACCCCGAACAGCTACAGCAACCTTGAAAAAGAAGAACAAAGTTGGAGGGATCACATTACTGGATATCAGGTTATACTACAAAGCCATTCTAATCAAAACAGCCTGGTACTGGCACAAGAACAGGCATGTAGATCAAAATATTGAAGTTGAAGGTCATGGGTTCGATTCTGGGTTGGGACGAGTGTGGGAGGCAATTGGTAGGTGTTTGTCTCTCTTTCTCTCTCAATCAATTTTAAAACAATCCTTGGGAGAGGAGTTTTTTTAAAGTATGACTAGAAAGAGGAGTGTTGTCGAGGGGCCATCACCTCGTTGTCCCTGTGTGTGGTTCAGGTGTGTGAACACCACTGCATTCAGTTGGAACATTTTGTGCAGCAAGTGTGGGCATTAGGAGAAGCACCTGGGACAGACAACCAGCAGTGGGAGGGAGTCGACAAGGCAGGGCGGCAGCTGGCACAGCAATGCCCTGGTGGATTCTGACAAGTGGAGGGAGGCCAAGGAGGTTTTTTGCAGGAGATGGGGCTGCTTGAGGGAAGAGCTGGGGTTCAAGACAGAAGGGAGGGCAGGCTCGTTCCACTCAGAGGGAGCTCCGGTGGCACAGAGGACGACCGGCGTCAGGTGCGGGACCGGCGTCAGGTGCGGGACCGGAGTCAGGTACACGACCGGTGTCAGGTGCATGACGTGCTCATCTGGGAGCCTATGCCTAGAGTTGGGGTCCAGAGAGAGACCAAGCAGGAGGGTTCAGTTTGGCCCCTCATGCCACAGATATTGGAGCCCTTGTCTTAAGGTTTCGTTTGATGCTTATAATAATTGCTTCTTGTAATTTTGTCATTTAAACAGGAGTAACGTTGTATTTGTCATTGTAGTTGAGGATTGTGTTTCAAGCACACTGTATTTACTTAATGTAATGTGTTTTCAGAAGCAAGACAGAATATTTCTGTTAAAGGCTTGATTCTCAGAAGCATGATTTAAATCACCTGGGTCACGCTCGTGACCAGACCAAACGCAGGTCATGAATGAAGCTCGTTCCTAGGTTTGCCGAATCCCTTGGCTCAGAAGGTCCCAGCTTTCGGGGCAGAAAAGATCTGGCAGTTTTTCTTACTGGTTGGCTCAGGAACAGGTCTGCCCTTCCTCCCCTCGGCCCACCCCTCAAAGTAGCTGAGAGGTGGGGATGGGCTTCCTCCCACCTGCTGTCCGCCAGCCTCGCCTAGAACTATGCCTCAAGAAGGACTTTAGTCAAACCCTCAACAACTCAATTAAATGACTTGTTTAATTTTTCCACTTAATTCGTTTTTAAAAAGAATTAGCCAGCCTTTTTTTTTTTTACCATTGTTTAAATAATAATAGCAAAAGCTTACATGAAACTACTGTCATTTATAATGCAGTTTCCCCTGAGATTTTAGAGAGCCTCTGAGCCTATTAACACTGCTGAATCTTTAGTACCAACTAATCAGCCAGCCCCTAAAATAACTTTAAAACTGGTTTTTAATGATGTCATTATGAGCACCAAAATAATTACTTGCTCACTCCTGCATTACATTTTGCTACCAAGATTATAAACAAATGTTTCCACTGCAGGGGTGCTTAAGAACACTCATTAAAGATGGAATGGGGCCCGGCCCGTAGTTCAGGGCTTAGTGTCGCCCTGATGCGCCAAGGTTATGGGTCTGAGCCCTGTTTAGGGCACATACCCAGGTTTTGGCTTCAATCCCCAGTCAGGGCACAGATAAGAATCAAGCAATGAAGGCATCAGTAAGTGAAACAACAAGTCCACGTTCTCTCTCTCCCTCTCTGGCATGCACGCTCTCTCCCCCTTCCTCTCCCTATCTCTAAAAAAACAAAAAAATGGAAATAAAGTAATTAAAAATGAAGCACGGCAGTACTAACTGAAAAAGTAATAAAGTGGGGGTTTGATTAAACCCTGATGAATTTTTTTTATCCCCAGGTGACCAGCCCTTGGGCACTGTCTTCACAGGGTCTGGGAATTTGTTCCTTAAATGTCCCATTTGATTTTCATGGCCAGATCCCTCGATCCCCAGGCCAGCTGGACCCAGAGTCCTCATTCGGAGAAGCTGGGCGGCGCCCAGTCCTGCTACTGGTCCCCATTCTACCGGTCCCTAACACCACCGGGCCCTGGGTTCAGATCCTAGCTGCAGGGCCGCAGGCTCATCGCCGAACTCTCCGGACTTCAGGCGCCTGTTCGGTCAGAGGGGGTGGTACAGGGCCGCGGTGCAGACAGGACCCGAGGGCTGGCGTGCAGCCCGACGGGCACCCACTCGGAAACGGTAGCAGTTACATTAGCACTGAGCGGGTTAAGGCTTTCACCTCCTAAAGTATTTTAACTTTTAAGTTTAAACAGGTAGTAATTTGTCAGAAATTAATGGGAAGCTAGAAAATTCATTTCAGAGAGGTACCACTTAAACTTTAAAAATACATATCTATTTAAACATGTTTTTGTTCTTTTAGACCAATTGTATCTGAGAAAAATGAACTTCTCGTTCAGTTTTTCTCAGACTTAAGCTTAACTGCAGATGGATTTATTGGCCACTACAAATTCAGGCCAAAAAAATTGCCTACAACTACAGCACCACCAGCTACCACCACATTCACTGTAACTACAGGTAAGTTTTTCTATTTTGAAGTTTGTACACAAACTTAAGGAATAGTAAAAAAATACTTTGAAGTAGAAAAAAATCAAATAAAAGGAAGATATTTGAAACTAAAATAAGTTACATAAGATGAAAACATATGTAAAAGAATAATATAACTCCACTAATGAAACAAAAATATAAAGTATAAGGATAATAATAAGCTGATAATTTTTAAATTAATTTTCAGAGAGAGAGAGAGAAACATCAATGTGAGAGAGAAACACTGATTGGTTGCCTCCCGTATGCCGCATTACCAAGGATCAAACCCACAACCTGGGCATGTGCCCTGACTGGGAATCGAACCTGCTGCCTCTTGGTGTTTGGGACGATGCTCCAACCCATTGAGCCACACCAGACAGGGCTAAGCTAATAAGTGTTAAATGTCATCTAAGAAAGTTATGACCAGTTAAAAATTACTAGGAACCCTAGAAACAGATTATAAGACTGATTTTTCTTTTCTGGCGCTTATAAAATTATGGTTTTCTTTTTATTACATAAAATCTATTTTAGGTTAAAAACCTTGACACCTGTTTGCTTTCACATTTGCCAGTATTTGATTGGACTTTTTTTTGCTTTTCTCCAAAATGTGTCATACAATATATATTATTTGTTTTTTCCTTTTTTTTTAATCCTCACCCGAGGACACTCTTGCATTTATCTTCAGATAGAGCGGGAAAAAGAGAGAGAAACATCAATGTGAGAGAGACACAGTCAGTGGCTGCCACCCACACGATCCCAGCCGGACCGGGGACAAACTGCAACCGAGGTACATGCCCTTAGCGGAACCGAACCACAGGACTCTCCAGTCCACGGGCTGACACTCTAACCGCTGAGCCAAACCCACCAGGGCTGTTTTTTCCTTTTTTTTTTTTTTAATCCTTACCCGACAGTATTTTTCCATTTATCTTCGGGAAGAGTGGGAGGGAGGGAGAGAGAGAAACATCGACGTGAAAGAGACATGTCGACTGGTTGCCTCCACGGCGGGGATGAACTGCAACCGAGGTACGTGCCCTTGGCCGGAATCGAACCCGTGACTCTTTGGTCCACAGGCTGTCATTCCAACCACCGAGCCAAACCAACCAGGGCTACATTATTTGTTTTTAATCAGAGTAAATCAAAGACATTTGACGTATCCTAGAAGTCAGTTGGGAAGCTGGTCTGGGAATTGGAGACAGGCATTGGTCCCTATGTCTAGTCTCTACATCCTGTCAGCGCCCCGCACTGGGATTTTAGTCCTCAGATACTAAAATCTAAATCCAGGGAGGAGGAAGAAGGTGCGGAGGAAGCATCTAAGGTTAAGAAATGAAGCCGGTTGAAAGAGCACCAACTTTATTGCCCACTGTTTCCTGTGTGCTCCCTAAGTAAGCTGTCCTGGGTACAGGCACTTCTAAAAGAGCCGGGTTTTCCTACCCTCCCCAAGTGTGCCACCTTGTGGCCTGCAAGGGTACTGCCTCATGTTACAGCAGCATCCCTCCAGCTCATCTCGGTGGACCCTGCTGTCCTTATTCATTCCAGTGGATTACCATGTGCTTAGTGTTTCTCCAGCTTTTATCTCCAGTGCTAAACTTCCTCTGAAATTGCAAATACGAATTTCTAATTATCTCCTAGAGTTTTGCAACTGATAGATACTTAAATTAAAACCTATCAAACTCAACTTGTTTGGGTCACAATTTTCTGTCCTAAACCTGCGTCTCCACCTGTCTTCCCAGGCATGGCCCACAGTGTCAGAGCCACGCTCTGAGGGTCATCTTTGACCTCTTCTCTGTCACCTCCCTCTGCGTGCCCCTCCACCACACATACACAGACCCGGCTGTGCTGGTCTCCCTGTAGAGTCATTCTCTGCACTGTGCCTTCCAGTGATACATCCGCCACTACTGAACACCTGAAGTTTGCCTAGTGGTACTGAGGAACCAAATTTTTAATTTAATGAAATTTCAAAAGCCTCATGTGGCTAGTGGCTACCAAATGGACAGCCCAGGAGCCCAGCTCCTTCACGTGGTATGTAACACCCTTCACACGTCATCCCTGTTCTCTCTAGATTCATCCTTAGTCCCTACTATCTCTCCTTATGTGCTAAGTATGTTGGATTTTACCCCAAGTGTGGAGGAAGCTGTTGATGGCTATAAGCAAAGTTCAGCGTTGGAGTTACACTACGAAGACTATTCTGGCCACTGTGGGGTGAAGGGGTTGCAGGGGTCAGGAGGACCAGCAGTTCTCGTGGTTGTCCGGGTGAACTGTGCTGACAGATGCAGAGGGCCCTGGCCGGGTAGTCCAGTTGGTTTGAGCGTCATCCCGCCATGATCCCCAGTCAGGGCACATACAAGAATCAACTAATGAATGCATAAATAAATGAAACAACAAACTGATGTTTCTGTTTCTCTCTCTCTAAAATCAATAAATACAAGTTTTAAAGAGAACTATAAGATAGTCGAGTTTCTGACTATTGTGCAAGTCAGGACCGCGGGAGATAGTGACGGGGCTTGGACTAGGAGATGAGGGAGGTGTCGAGAATGCCCTCCAGGCCCTGGCTTGCAGACCCGGGGGATAATGTAACCATTCGCTGAAGCTGAGAACTGGGATTAGGGGTGGATCAATAAGAAAAGCTGTGACCTTGTTGGATCTGAGGTGTCTGTAAGATACTCAAGTGGAGATATCATGTAGACAATGATATCTATGGGCCCCCAGACCAGAAGAGAGATTTAAGCAAGATATCTAAATCTGAGAGTCATCAACAGATGTCTGGTTGATACCATGATCCAGAGGAGATCCCTAGGGAGAGGTTCGGGGTAGAAGAACAAGGGCCGGGACTAAGCCTCTAGAAACTCCAGTGCTCTCCAGGGAGGGTGTGCTGGCCACGGGGCGAGGCAGCGCTGAGGGGCGGGCAGCGGGACAATGTCATGGACACCAGGGAAGAGACCGTTGGGAAGGGCATGGGCAGTAGAGCCATGTCCATGAGACGTCAGAACAGGATAGGGTTCCGGTGTTTCCATTTGATTTCATGATGTGGGGGCTACTGGGGACCCTAGAAGAGCTGTGTGAGTGGAGGGGTGTAGGCAGAGGCCGCGCGGAATGGGCTGCGCCGTGGAAACTGCCACAGTAGTTCCAGCAACTCATCCCAGCGTTTGGTCCTGCGGGAGGGAGCGGCTTTGTGTCTGCAAGAAGGTAAAGGCACCGGGAAGTAGCCGCGCAGGAGAACACGCTGCAGGCAGGAGGGGCTGCGGGCCAAATCCCACAGAGCTGGGAGGACTGGGCCTCCCAGGACTCAGGCTGAACCTGGGACCGAGGGGCAGCACCGCCTCCCCCAGCGGAGGGGGACCAGAGGCTGCAGATGGGATCGTGAAGGCATTTTCTTCTATGAGGCCTGTTCTCACTAGAACTCGGGCAGGTCGCCCGCCGCGGAGGACAGGGGAGGTGGTTAGGAGGATGAGAGAACTTGAAACGGAGCCGTGGACCCTGGGGAGCGAGGGGATCCACCAAGCCGCTTGGCACTGTGATGCCGCATCTGTGGGCCCCGGGAGGGCTGGCACAGGTTCCCACCGGGTTGAAGGACGAAGGATGGGGGAAGTTAAAGTGTTATCGAGAAAATGATGGAAGCAATGGACCGTGGAGATTACGTGGACTAGCCAAGGAAATAAAGATGGAATGGGACAAAATGAGAGGTGTCGAGCCTCCGAAGATGGGGGGTAGTCATGAGAGTAATGGGTAACTGAGCCCGAAGGAGGTGGTTGTGGACGTGAGGGCGTTGCATTCGAGACCTGGGTGACTGAACGCCAGCAGGAGGGCATGGGAGCCGGGCTGAGTGGCCGAACTGGAGCAGGGCGGCTCCGGGAAGGACGAGGCCACGCGCAGAGGGGGCACGGGTCTGGGGGCGGCCCACCAAGGTGGGCGCAGGAGCACGGAGAGGGGGGCCGAGACCAGGGGCCGTGCTGGGGGTGCAGGTGGTGGGGAGATGACGGCGGCTGAGGAGGGTGAGGGTGCTGTGGCTGAGCTGAGGGCTGCGAGCAGGGCTCTGCTGGAGGGGGGCACTGCAGGCCGCCCCCCACTTCCAGACCGACCTGCCGAGGCTGAGGAGCTGGCTGCTGGGGGTCCACGTAGGAGGGTGCCCTTCATCAGACCGGGAGGAGCACTAACGCCACTACTTCTTGATTCCGTCAATTAGGTACATTTAGGTCTCGATTTTTGGAACAATGTTCCCTCCAAGTGTTTACTGAGCTCTTTCTCTTAAAAAGGGTGTGTGTGTGTGTGTGTGTGTGTGTGTGTGTGTGTGTGTGTATTTAAGCCATTGTGTGTATTTAACATTCAGTTCTATATATTTTATTACTGTAATCCACTGAGATCCTTTTTGGAGTGAAAAGTAAATATATGATACATTCACAAGAGTCGGCAGAATCTATTAGAAGGGCAATATTTCAATTGCAAATTCTTACCTAACAAGTATAATTTTGTTACAGTTGTTTTGTTCTTCCTAGAATAGTGCCACATATAAGTGAATAATTAGCACATATTTTTTAAATATTTGTAATGATGGTAATGGGGGTTAAACATTTCCATTTTGTTAACTCATAGTTTCTCAGTCTCAGCACTAGTAACATCTTGGGCCCCATAGTCCATTCCTGCTGGGCACTGCCCATCGTAAGCTATCTAGCAGCAAGCATCCTGACCCACTAGATGCTAGTAGAACCCCCTAGTTGCGACAACCAAACTACATCCAGACAGGCAGTGACAGGCTCAAAATAAATGTTTAGTGATTGGTTGCATCTCATTACGAATATAACACACTTAACTTGAGTAGTGTTTCTAAAAAGTCTGTACTAACATTTAGACAACTGCGTATTTAAAATGAGCTCCCTCCATGCACTAGCCGGTGTGGTTCAGTAGTTAGAGTGTCTGCCTGCATACCAAAGGGTCTCGGGTTCAATTCCTGGTCAAGGGCACATACCTGGGTTGCAGATTCAATCCCTGACCCCAGTCAGGGCATGTGTAAGAGGCAATCAATAGATGTGTCTCTCTCACATCTATGTTTCTCTCCCTCCCTTCTTCCCTCCCTTCTACTCTCTAAAAATCAATGGCAAAAAATATCCTCAGGTGAGGATTAACAGCAACAAAATAATAATAAAGAAAGCTCCCTCTTTTTTCAGGGAGAACACCATAGAATTCCTTGTGTAAAGTGCAGAATTAACCTATAGTTTTCTTAGTTCATATTTGTTGAACTAGTTTTTCCTAAGCAAGGCAGATGGAGACTATATCTGTTTTTGGCTATGGTGTTAGTTTTATATAAAGGAAGAAGAGAATAGGGTTTTGATCTCAGGTTTATATTTGGCAGAGGGTACTCAGTTACGCTGAGGACACTGGAGCAGCAGCGTGAAGCATGTCTTCGGACACTGTCATTTCATCGCAGTGACATAGTGGTGGCTCAGAGAAAGAAGTGGAAGTTTTAAATTGATAGATTCATATCTAAATACCAATTATACTTGAGTTCATTTTCCTGACTCTTATGTCTTTCTTCTTTGAATTAAGGTTTAAAACCCACCATGGCCATGTGTCAACAAAAGTGTCGATGGACGGGTTCTCTGGAAAGCAATTACTGTTCAAGTAACTTTGGTAAGAAATAAAACCAGCCTTTTCTCTTACGGGACACTTGGGGCTGCATGCTTAGTCTCCAAGAAATCGCCACGACCCAGGGCAAAGGGCGAGCTGTACCCTTGGTCTACCCAAGAGAGGATGTCCCCGCACACAGGTATGTTGACCTGTGCTCTTCAGAGTGTCAGATTTCACCACTGAGAAAAATGTGCACACAGAAAACACATGTTTTCAAACAAACTTAATTTGACTCCTGGGACGTGATTCTGCCATTCTGTGTATTCTGGCTGGCTCGGTATTCCTGAAAAAACCGGTGTGCTTTTTTCCTCTCCCATAGTTTTCACGTATTATTTTTTCACACATTGTAATTCAGCCTCAGTGAATTAGAAGCATCCAAGCTGGGTCTCCTCTGCAGAGTCCTTCTAAAGTACTAAATTAAAACTTGGAAATCTGAAATCTATCTGGAAACACTTATAAATCGGAACCTGGAGATGTTACCAATGACTTGGAGTTTATAAGAGCTTTTTACGTAAAAACGAATTGCACTTTTTTTGAAAACCACTCAAGAGCAAAATATACCAGCTTTAGTGATGTTGCTTATTTTCAAAAGGAACATTTAAGAAAGTCTTAGCAGGAAAATAAAGCTGCTGTGGCCTGGGAGGTTGCCCCAGACCAGGGCCCCCAGAGGGGCCTGCAGTGAGGAGGCCCTACTGCCCTCCGCCCACCTGGACGTCACAGGTCGCTGCCCACAGGCGGTGCAGCCTCGGCAGGGGGGCGGGGGGGGGGCGGAAGGACACCTCCCTCCCTGTCCCTTGGAGCCGCCTGATTCCACGTGGCTGCAAACTGACATGTTGCAGTCAACACTCGTCACCAGGAGCCAGAGTAAGGCAGGGAAGAATTCTGATTAAACAGTGAGTTCTCGCTTCAGCCTGAAAGTCCCAGACTTGATGGATCCCACTGTGACTCACTCACATGGCAAAGTGAGCGCAGCAGTCCCCGTGGCCACCAGTTGTCAGCCCCGGTTGTCAGCCGGCCTGGACCGCTCCGCAGGCGGCGGGCAGGTGTGTCTGGGCAGCGCCGGGCTCCCGAAACCCGTCCAGGCAGGTCCGGTGCCACGCGGAGTTGCCCGACCAAATGCCAAAAACACACCTCTAAGAGAACGCATCTCTCCTCTGTGGGGGGTCACCGTAGAAAAGACAGTTACATAATGAAAAGCAACTGGATTTTGCTAGAGTTATTTTTTTTTTTTAAGCAAGAAAATGTTTTGTTATACTTCAGTTCTATACTTCGACTTCTTAAATGAAATAAACAGGGTGCATAAGAACGAATGGAAAAGACCTAGAAAAAGACAGATAGTTACTGATAATTAGAGAGAGATGGGGGCCCATGGATGAACCAAAGTTCCAGGAGAGAAGACAACTACGGAGCCGGGTGGGGGAGAGCGGGAAAGGGGGTGCACCCATGCAGACCAGACCCTTCCCCGTGGTGCAAGCCCCTCTGCAGCCTCCAAGTCGCGGTTGCCTCTGAAGACTCGCGGTCTTGCTAGTGGCTCACGTAGGGCTCAAGCCTGTACCTTTGGTCACTGGCCCACGTGGCGGACACACGGTGAGGATCCCCTGCAGGCCCCTCTCCCGGGCCCAGCATCCGACGTGGGCGGCGGGCAGCGCCGGGCCCCTTGCAGCCTGACCGTCGGCGGCTCGCTCACAGATCAAATCTGATAGCTCTGCAGGCCTTCTCCTTAGCATTAACTTCTGCCGCTTAGGAAGATGTCGAATTATACCCAGTTCTGCTTACGTTTGCCCTCACTGTCGCATTGTTTCCAAACGTTTTCTTCGCAGTCGTCGCCGGCACCGTGATCACGACCGGCGCCCGAGGCGGAAGCCTGCACGCCACGGTCTCCCTCATCAACATCTACAAGGAGGGCAGCCTGGCCATTCAGCAGGCCGGCAAGAACATGAGCGCCAGGGTCGTCGTGGTCTGCAAGCAGTGCCCGCTCCTCAGAAGAGGCGAGCGCAGAGGGACCGGGCCTGTGGGAGGGCGGACAGCGGTCCGCGCAGGCCGCCCCTCGCGGGTGGAGTCGGGCCCTGGGCGGAGGGAAGGCCCTGGCGTCCGGCAGACTGGGCTCTGACCCGGCCTCGCGGGTGGAGTCGGGCCCTGGGCGGAGGGAAGGCCCTGGCGTCCGGCAGACTGGGCTCCGACCCGGCCTCGCGGGTGGAGTCGGGGCCTGGGCGGAGGGAAGGCCCTGGCGTCCGGCAGACTGGGCTCTGACCCGGCCTCGCGGGTGGAGTCGGGGCCCTGGGCGGAGGGAAGGCCCTGGCGTCCGGCAGACTGGGCTCCGACCCGGCCTCGCGGGTGGAGTCGGGGCCTGGGCGGAGGGAAGGCCCTGGCGTCCGGCAGACTGGGCTCTGACCCGGCCTCGCGGGTGGAGTCGGGGCCTGGGCGGAGGGAAGGCCCTGGCGTCGGGCAGACTGGGCTCTGACCCGGCCTCGCGGGTGGAGTCGGGCCCTGGGCGGAGGGAAGGCCCTGGCGTCCGGCAGACTGGGCTCTGACCCGGCCTCGCGGGTGGAGTCGGGCCCTGGGCGGAGGGAAGGCCCTGGCGTCGGGCAGACTGGGCTCTGACCCGGCCTCGCGGCGTGGGTGAGGCCAAGGAGCAGACACGAGGGGTGCGACCCAGCAGCGCCTGAGGTTGGGTCAGTAGAGAGCAGACAGCAGCTCACCAGAGATTTTCGGTGGCGGCGCTTCAGGTGCCAATACTAAACGTAGAGGAAAAGATTCAGCAAAGAAAACGTAATTCAGAGCTGAGGTTCAGAAGCGAGAGGCAGATGTGGGCTAGAATGAAAATTTTAGGAATCATTTTCAGATCTAGGATCATTCAATCCATAGACGGGAATGAGTTTATTAAGAGAAATTATGGGAAAAGGAAAGTTACTCCAGAGCCAGAGGCACATCATTTTAAAACAAGTCCTTTAACTTATAAAAGTGCTATCTGTTCTATGGTTTTTAAAAAGTTGAACCATGTAGAGGAGGATATGAAAGGAAACGTGCAGCCCTTCCCTTCAGCCCGGAGCTGCCGGGATACTGGCAGGAAGGCCCACGCTCACGCACACTGGCACAGATGGGGTCCTACCTGCACGCCCTGTCGCGGCCTCCCGGGGCACACGCAGCCGTCCTTCCAGAGCGGTGCGTGCGGACAGACCCCTCTCGACCGGTAGCAGCGCCTGTTCCCACTGTGCTATCCCCCTGCTCCGTCCAGTCTCAACCGTTCCGTTCCTCGGTCTTGTAAAAACTCTCCCACAACCCAAACAAAACAAAACCAGAGAAGGAGAGCGAATATTCCCTTCAAGAAAGCTTTACTATAAACTCAGATTGTTCAGGAGGCAGGAGGCACACAGTCCCACAGTGAGTTCTCGAGGAAGCAGCGAAGGCTCCAGGAGAGGTAGCACTTGTTCCCAGAGCCCCCAGGCACGCGACAGCCACGGCTAAGCCCCTCCCTTGTGGTCCGATGGCACTGGAGCCCAGCCTGTGGGCCCTCCCAGGCGCAGAGGAGGGCTGTGCGAGAGAAAAGGGAAACTTTTCTCCTGGGACACTGGGGAAGAGGGAGAACAAAGGAGGCCGAATGCGCACCGCCTTTAGGACATTTTTCTGAGGCAGCATCAGTCTTGAGCGTTGAGCGCAGCGTGCTGCAGCTCAGGCCCCAGTCTAGGCCAGACGCACTCACCTAAGCAAGAACAGTCTACCAGCGATAAGGACTTCTTCACTACCAGCCTTCGCGAGGGACTATAGGGATGCAAAGAAGTATATGGCCCAACCATGCCCTGAAGAAACTGACACAGGGTAGGTGGTTGAGACGCTGGGGAAAGTTCCAGACAACAGCGGAAGACAGGATCACTAGCTGCCCTGTGCCTGGCAAACCAGGAGCTCCGGGGACTGTGAGGCCCTCTGAGGACAGAGCTTCCACGGGGACACAGCGCAGGTTCTTGGTAGACTCAGTATGGGCGCCAGCCGCGCAGTCCCAGAGCAGGGTGTGAGGGACCCTGTCGTTCCTTCCAGTTTCCCGGTGAGCTCAGCTCGGACATGGCACTCAGCTGAATTTAGATTTGTGCTGACGAGAGTCTTAAACCAGTAAATGTGTCTTATTCTAGACACAGTAAATGTATAAATGTATCATTTACAGAACATGTATCTAGAGAGCAAAGTTATAGTTTATGTTGTTTTAAACAAGCACACGTAGAGAAAAAAATTTAATTTATATTCTTTTTTTTTTTTTTAGGTCAAAATTACATTATTATGGGCCAAGTGGGTGAAGATGGGCGAGGCAGAATCATGCCAAACAGCTTTGTCATGATGTTCAAGACCAAGAATCAGAAGTTCCTAAACGCCTTGGAAAACAAGCAATGTTAACAGGGAACTGGGTCCATTTTCGCTTCATTCTGTCATTGCCTTTGAAAGATCTATTTTTCTCAGTAGAAAAACAGTCTTATAACATTAAACATTGAGCATTCAGAAAGACTTACTCTTCACAGATCAGGTGAGACCCCCAGTGTTGCCGATGGCAGGTGTGTCGCACCGGGAGAAGCAGGTGTCTTAGTGCTGTCAGGACACACAGGGCTTCGACGTTGACAGTCGGAAGCGGTTTATTTACACATCTCTGTAAGAGGGTGTTTTAGAAATGAGTTTTGTGAAGATGTAAAAAAAGAGATTTTATAAGTGCAATATTTGCTGCAAGGTGTTATATTCTCTTCTTGCATTTTTTAAATCGATGCTTAATAAAATATTTTTAAATGATATGTATGTAACAGCCATTAAATATTTTCATATAAAGTAGGACACTGGAAAAAGGAATATTTCCTGCAATTTGCATAGAAGGCTACCTTTGTAATAATTTTCACTTTGCTAGAAGACTTCATATTCTGAGAGCTTGGGGGCTGGATGGATCCATTAATGTAAACAGACTATAATTCTCTGCAGAATCAGAAAACGTTAGTGCTCACATGGTGTCCCTCAGCGATCTAGTCCAATTCCTTTGTTTTGTACTGTGAAGTGGAGCTCAGGAACTGGTCCAAGCACACACTTCCCGTGCCCCGGAGCCGGCTATCAGGCTAGGGGTCCTGGCTGCGGACCCAGTGCCTTCGCTGCCATGGAGGAGACCCTCGCTGCCCAGGGGAAAGCCCTCGTGTCCTGACTTACAGAGCTGTCCTTGTTTTCCTGGCTAAGTTTTAACTGGTCATTTTATAGGACTTGGAAGTAAGTCTGACACCCCTTTCCTGTTCATTCCCAGTTAACTGGGTCGGGCTGTGTCTGCCAGGATGCGCTGAGCCTTGGAGAAATCTATTTTCACTCAGTAGCAGAGGAACTGGGAAGGGATTCCCCACCATTTGCCCAGAGCTACTTAAATGCCACTGTACCTGCAACAGGTGTGGCCACCAACCGTCAGGAGGTTGCTGGCCAGGAGCTGCGGAGAATGGGACAACCATCCCTATCCAAAGAGGGTAGAAAGAACATTAGGGATGAACACAGACTTGAATCACAAGGTCTCCCATAGTAGACGCAAAGTTTTAGAAACGAAATATGCTATGGAATAAAAATCTAAGTATATGCTACTTGAAACACACAAGGACGCCGAACAGTTGAGAAGAATAGAAAAAGATAACTATACCAGGAAAATATTAACAAAATAGATATGCCTTTATTAATATTAGAAAAATAGACTTTAAGGCATTGCTCAAGATGAAGATTACAAGGAGATATAACAATTATTTGAATGCAGCTAATATCCTTCAAAATATATAACAATCTGGTATTGTATAAATGGAAATTGAAAAGTTTATCATCACAGTGGGAGATTTTAACACTTTTTTCCTCAGTAAATGGCAGATTTAAAAAAAAAAAAAAAACACAAAGATACAGGAGCTTTGAACCACACAGTTAACTAGATTCACCTGATGGATAGAACAGAATCTCAGTATGAAACGGTTTAAAAACTCACCCACTTACTGCACCATGAAACAAATCCCAACAAGTTTCAAAGAACTGGTAATATACAGTCTTCCTTAAACAACAAGGCAAGGAATAATTAGAAAATAATAAAAGTAGCCCTGGCCGGTTTGGCTCAGCGGTTAGAGCGTCGGCCTGCGGTCCGGAGAGACCCGGGTTCGGTTCCCGCTAAGGGCATGTACTTCGGTTGCAGGTTGTCCCTGGCCCTGGTTGGTCGTGTGGGTGGCAGCCACTCGATGTGTCCCTTTCACGTCGATGTTTCTCTCTCTCTCTCTCCCTCTCTCTCCCTCCCACTCTATCTGTACAAAAATTGGAAAAATGTCCTCGGGTGAGGATAAAAAAAAGAAAATAATAAAAGTAAACAATAATAAAAGCAATAAGGAAAAAACCTGATATTTGGAAATAGAAAAATGTGCTTTTAAATAACTCATGATCAAAAAGAAATTATAATGGCCCTGGCCAGTTTGGTTCAGTGGTTAGAGCGTTGGCCTGCGGACTAATGAGTCATGGGTTTGATTCCAGCCAAGGGCATGACCCTCGGTTGTAATTCGTCTCCGGCCCTGGTTGGGGTCGTGCAGGAGGCGGCCACTCGATGTGTCTCTTTCATGTCGATGTCTCTCTCTCTATCTCTCTCTCTCTCTCTCTCTCTCTCTCTTATTCTCTCTCTCCCTCACTCTATCTGAACAAAAATGGGAAAGAAAAGTCCTTGGGTGAGGATTAAAAAAAAAGAAATTATAAAGGAAAATAGAAAAATATTAAAAATGGAACTAATAAAAATGTTAAATTAAATTTTTTAATGTATGGAATGCAGTATAAATAACACTTTAAAATTTATAAATGTAAGTGTTTCAATTATTTTTTTAAAGGTGAAAATTAATTTGTGAATGATCTAAATTAGGAAATTAGTAAAAACAACTGAATAAACTTCAAACGGCCGGAGGAAATAAGCGTAAGAGCAGAAACAGTAAAATAGTCATCATAAACAATGGAGGAAATCAACAAAGCCAAAAATTGGTTCTCTTCAATGACTAATATAATCGACAAAATTAAGAAAAGAAGTGGAAAAGGACAAGAAAACAATTTAAGACTGAAAAGGGCACCTACCTACAGTTGTTGCAGAATCTTAAAAGGCAGTAAGAAGATATTCTGAACCACTTTGTGTCAATACGTCTGAAAGCTTAGATGAAGTGGACAAATTCTTAAATGGGGGAATTTATCAACTCGGTCCCAAGTAGAAATAAATACCTGGATTGTCCTATAACCATTAAAGAAATTCAGTCAGTAATTTAAAATCATTCTTCAAATAAAACTCTAGGCTCAGAGAGAGGGTCTACCAAAAATCTAAAGGCTAAATACTACTATTCCAAAGAAAGAAGCAACACTCTGCAATTTTTTTCTATGAGATTAATATAATCTTAGTAACAAAGCTTGAGAAGACAGCAGGATCTAGAAACACCATCAGTTCAATTTCACTTATGAACATAGGTGCAAAAATTCTAAACAAAACATTATCAAACAAAATCCAGCAAACCAAATAGATCACGATCAAGTAGGATTTATCCCAGCAAAATGATTGATTTAACATTAGAAAATCAATGATCATACTTCATTGTATTAATAGATTTGCAATACCAAGTAGGGAGTATTAGGTACAACTAAACATTCAGACTCATAAGAGTATCACTGTCCTCTTGGTACCAGTATCTTCAGAAAGATATAGCAAGGAGACCACTGCTTAACAGGACCATGGCAGACTTTCTACTTCTGTGGGGATCTTTGCAAGCAGTGGGGCAGCTGTTCACATAGCCATCATGGACATGTTTTCTTCGGCCTTCCTGGATGATATCTCTGATGCCAGAAGACAAGTTTCACATCTGGTGGGTGCAAACATTCCAACTTAGTGAGGGTGCATCTCCTCAGAAACCAGTTATCTCTTGGAGGAATTTCATAAGCATAGCTTCAAGACACCTCAGAGATGACATGCCTAGTTATAAGTGACACACACACAGAAACGCTGAACGCTATGGCTCCCCTACCAGCTACCTATAATTCAAGTATAGTTTCACCCAATCCCATACAATATACCAATCAGGATCCACTTTTACCATCAGCAAGTTTGCCTAGCAACATAAATGACATACTGTATTGTCAGATCACTAGGTAAGTTAAACAAAAGTCAACTTTTAAAAGAATGAGGAAAGGTATTTTTTTAAGCCCTATTCACAATAGATTAAAGGAGAAAAATAACTTGCTCTTAATGAACAAAAGAATTTGATATAATTCAACATTTATTCATGACAGTAAACCCTGAGTACATTATAAATAGAAGGGAAATTCCTTAAACTGATAAGAAACCCTGCAGAAAATCTCATATATAATGATGAAATATTGAAAGCATTTTCTTAAAGATCAGCAAAGACAGAATGCCCAAAATCAACATTTTCATTAGAAATTGTACTGCAGACTCTAGTCAATGTAATAAGGCAAGAAAAAGAAATAAATTATATTGGGCAAGAAGAAATAAAACTATTATAAAGCAAAGATGATATGACTATTCAAATACAAAACACAAAGTAACCTGCAAGTAAGTGATTAGAATTAATAGAGTTTCACAAGTTTGTCCCTTAGATGTATTTTTATACACACAAGCCCTAGCCAAAGGACAAACTTTTGAAGCTTAATATTGAATAGCCTTTTTTTTTTTCTTTATTGCTTTTAGAGAGAGAAGGGAGAGGGAGAGAGAGAAACATTGATGAAAGAGAACATCAATTGGTCACCTCCTGCACGTTCCCTGTTGGGGATTTGGCCCACAACCTGGGCATGTGCCCTGACCAGAAATTGAACCAGCAACCTCCTGGTGCAGGGGTCGATACTCAACCACTGAGCCACACTGGCTGGGCTTGAATAGCTTTTCTAATGAAGAGAGAGAGACACACACTGAGAGAGAGGAACCTCTAGATTGTTGAGAGCAAGATGGAGAAAATGAGGCTTACCTATTACTTATCTGGTTGACTGAAACATTTTTTAAACATACATTTACCTCTGACATAAGCTGCTTTGCCTCTTGTATTACTGTAGTTTAATTAAATTTAATCAGAAATTTTGTCTCTTAAAAGTGGTTATTTTTAAAGCATGTACCTAGCACACAAAATTCTTACTAATTTTGAGTTGCATATCTTAAATATTTATTTCAAACTGGGGATAGAAAGAGCAGAAAAACACATGTGAAATGATCAAATGAAAGGAAACACTGTAATTGGTAATTCTAAATATATTTTCAAAAAACACAACACATTTGCAAATGGGACAGTGACGCCAGAAAGCTAGCAAATTAACTTGCAACTGAGAAATTCAGAGTAGCCATTATCCCTGGTAATATTAGTATATTCTTAGCATAATTCTAAATAATTATACCCAACTGATTTTGTAACAGTGGGGAATTATAACCCACCCCACCATTCTTTTGACATTGTTTTCGTAAATTCTGACTAATACGTAGCTTGTAGATAAACAGCATGTTTTTATAAGAATCCTAGGAACTCTGACCTTCAGTCATCCCAGCTCTGGAAGAATTGATGACCTTCAACTGTAAAACTAGGATGATGTAAAACCAGAATGATGCACACTAGACCATCATTTGACCGGTTCTGAGGTCCTTATTAAAATGTACTGTGCTAGTCTGCAGGTAGAGAACTTTTCAACACTCTCCCCTTGATCTCTTTGTTCTGCTTTGCCTCTCCATCCTTATAAAAACCTCTGCCTGTACTGAGATGTTGAGATGAGCTTTGGACAAGAGTCCCCATCTTCTCAGGCGGCCAACCCTTGAATAAACCTCTTTCCTTTTTCACCAGCACCTGTCCCATGAATTTGGCTTTTATGCTGGCAGGCAGTTGAATCTCAATTTTGGTTACAATTTTACTCCCAGGGCCTATAGCCTCAGCCTATTTGATATTTTTAAAATGTATTTTCCGCTTCTAGGAATATACCCTAAAAAGCCTGAAACCCCCATGTTCATAGCAGCACTATTTACAATAGTTAAGATCTGGAAACAGCCCAAGTGTCAGCTCAACATCAGTAGACGAATGGATAAAAAAGCTGTGGTACATATACACAATGGAGTACTATGCAGCTGTAAGAAAGAAAGATCTCTTATCCTTTGAGACGACATGAAGGGACCTGGAAAGTATTATCCTAAGTGAAACAAGCCAAGCAGAAAAAGACAAATACCACATGATCTCACTTATATATGGAATATAATGAATATAACAGTCTGAAGAATAAGGTAGACCCAGAAACATGGAAGTAGGGTACACACTGACAACCCTCAGAAGAGGGGGTGGTGGGGGGTGGGAAGAGATAAACCACAGAACTTATATGCATGTATGCATAACCAATGGACATGGACAACAAAGCTGGGGATGGGGCGGGGGGTATGGGGAGGAGGGTGTCAATGGGGTAAAAAAGGAGAAACATCTGTAACAAAAATAAAATTTAATAAATAAATAAAAATAAAATGTATTTTCCGAGAAAAGCAATAATTTCCATTTCGGTGCAATTCCAATAAAAATCTCAACACTTTTTTTTTTTTTTTTTGGTAGAAATTGATAGGCAGATTCCAAAATGTATATAAAAATGTAAATAAGTTAGAGTAGCCAAAATAATTTTGAAAACTATAGTACAAAATTCTTCACCTGGGCATTTATTACTGTATTTCATCTGCTATGTCATGTTAGTGATGGGTTACCAACTTTAATATTTAAGCAGTTTTCTTTTGGATTGATAATAAATTTGAAGATTCCAGTTATTTTCTTATTTCTTTATTTCAGTATGTTGTAGCATTATGTATTTTTGTCAGTTTTATTAAAGTGTAATTTTTATACATTAACATTTACCCTTTTTAAGTGTACAGTTTGATGAGTTGTGCAACCAATCTTCGCCTCCCACCAGACCCTAGTAACCAATGATCTCATTTTGGTTTCTATAGCTTTATCTTTTCTAGAACGTCATATAAGTGGAATCATATAGTATGCAGTCTTTTGTGACAAGCTTCCTTACTTAGCATACTTTAAAGATTCACCTGTTAGTTTTTTCCTGCGTTAACTTGGCTAGGCCGAATTATGTCTCCCAGAATTCTCTTCCTTGCATGTTTCTAATAGGGTGGGCCACAGACCATTCAATGTGGAGCTGGGAGGGCAGAGGTGAAGTGGCTGCCATTTTGGTTTTTATGGAGGCAATTTGCAGCTCATACATGTAACTTACTTGCTGGCTCAATTAGTTGGTGTAGGGCAGACTGGCCTACAATGTTCTACCTGGCCTTGGATCTTCCTTCAGCTTCTCTGATTCCTGGGCCAAGTGTGTGTTTAGCAACCTAGCAAAGAGCAACTTTTCCCACAGGATAACCACACAAACAAGGTTAGAGACACAAGTGTCATGGGACTCAATCAGTCCTCATGAGTTCCAGCTTGTTCTCATTTCTTCCACTTCTCACTGATCCTCCCTTACCATCTCTGCCTACCCTGTGAACTCCAAGCTCCAGCCCTAGATGCAAGAACCTCGCAGAGAATGCTTAACCAACTCCAATTCTGTGATGCTAACCCCCGCAAACAGATCACGACAGAAACAGATGTGGTGCCCGGTTGTTCTCTTTCTCTGATTCCCTTTTCTTACTGAATAGCTTTCCACTGGATAGATGTATAATTTGTCTATTCATTCACTAGTTGATGAACATTTTATTGTTCTCAGTTTGAGATTTAATCCTCATACAGGTCTTTGTGTGAACTTGTTATTTCAAAATATGATATTTATAAAAATGATAATAGCACCCTGGCTGGTTTGGCTCGGCAGTAGAGTCTTTGCCCATGGAACAAAGAGTCACGGGTTCGATTCTGGTCAAGGGCAAGTACCCCAGTTACGGGGTTCGGTGCCCAGCCCTTTTCACTTATTTGCATTGCCTGCACTCTGAGCCACTGTGATCAGCCACTTTTTGCTCAAATTCTTTCCACTCACCTTCATCCTTCCTCATGGCTTTGGTGGCAGCCCCCACGCGCGGGGCTCTGCTGCCCGGTTGCTTTGTTCCTTTGTCTGCTTGTCCCACTTCCTTTTTGAAGATTTTTCGATAGCTATTTAGAGAGAGAGGAAAGGAGAGGGAGAGAGAAACATGGATGGGCTGCCTCGTGCACGCCCTCCAACGGGAGGAGCCTGCAACCCGGACATGTGCCCTGACCCAGACCTCACCCAGCAACCGCATGGGACGATGCCCAACCAGCCAGGGCACTTCTTGTCCCTCTTGGCGGAAGAAATGGTCCAGGTTCCGCTGCTCGGTCTGGGCCACGGCCTGCCTCCTCCACCGGGATGGGGGAGGCCAGCGGTGGGCTGGCCCCGGGGCTCCACCTCCGGCTGGACGCGGGTCGCGGGTCGTGGAGGCACGTGTGCGTCGGGAGGCGGCGGGAGCCCTGGAGCCGCCGAGGCTAACGTCACTGCAGGGCAGGAAAGGATCGCGCGGCCGGCCGGGAGCTCCGGGGTGAGTGCTGGAGCGGCGGGGCGCGGGCAGGAGCTAGCCAGATGTTCTGGGGCGCGGGCAGCAGCTGGCCAGATGTTCGGGGGCGCGGGCAGGAGCTGGCCGGATGTTCTGGGGCGCGGGCAGCAGCTGGCCGGATGTTCTGGGGCGCGCTGCCGACATGGTTCTGACAGTGTTGGTGACGATGGGCGGTGCGGCTCTCCGCATCCCTCGACCAGGAAGGAACTGGCGCAGCCTGCGCTGGAGGAAGTCATGTTACAAAGCCTCACCATGGTACTGAGGACAGCATGGATGGTCACGAAGACACAAAAGTTTCAGAGGACGAAGTACTTGTCTTCCGATTGCAAATGTGGCAAGGGTAATGAAAAATGCCATGCCTCAAATGGAAAAGATTGCAAAAGATGCCAAAGAACGTGTTCAACGATGTGAGTCCATCATTCACAGCATCTGAAGCAGGGAGAGGCCATGAAGAGGAACCGAAGGCAATCAACGGAGAAGATACCCCTCTGCCTTGCCTACCTTAGGCTTTGCGTTATGTAGAACCTCTAACATTATACCTCCAGAAACTCAGAGGCTATGAAAGGAGAGAAAGGATTGGAAGAATCACAGCTACAGAGGGACTAAGTGAAGAGCTAACAGAGGCCCTTACCAACTGGTTACCAGCTGGCTTAGTAACTGCAGACGGTCAACAAAATGTCATAGTAACAGATCTCAGGCGTTCAGCACACTCAGTTTTCGGGATCTGAAGGAATGACAGTGGGGAGTGCAGGGAAGCAGAGACCGAGAAGGAAAGGACGTCTGTCTCTATATTAAATCGCTGGAATGGAGCTTCTGATGCTTCACTAACTGAGGTGTTCGTTCTGACTTGACAATCTTTTCCATGAGTGATTTTAGAGAAAATTTGGATTTTAAAGATATTAAAATACTTTTATAAGAGTTTGTCACTCTGCATGACCCCTGCATGCATTGTATATTGCGATTTATTAGTGAGATTTGTAGACAGTTTATTTCATACTGAATCATGTTGATTTTGCGATTCAGGTAAGCAGCTGGGTTCATTCATGTTTACCCTTTTAATAAACTATAAGGGTAGCCCTGGCTGGTTGTTCAGTGGTTAGAGCAGTGGCCTGTGGACAGAAGTCTTGGGTTCAATTCCAATCAAGAGCATGAACCTCAGTTGCAGTTCGGTCCCCGGCCCTGTCTGGGGTCATGTGGGAGGCAGCTAATCGACGTGTCTCTCTCACATGGATGTTTCTTGCTCTCCCTCCCACTCTGTCTGAAAACTCTTTATAAAAAGTTACATGTAATTGCCACGAGGAAGGGGTACAAAGGTGTCTGAAGGTGATGTTTTCCATTTTAGGCCCTTCTTACCACGATTTAAAGAACAAAACAAAACAGAGTTATATGCTTTAAAGAGTGAATTTGATGATGGGAATTATATCTCAAAAAAAGTATAACGATAATACAATAGACTCTGTCAATTCATAATCAAGTTTTATTCACCTTTCTTCTGACAGTATGCTCTTATTAAAAAATATACCTCATAAGTAATCCATGCACACAGTCGGCACTCCATAAATATTTTTATTTAATAATTAGGTATTTTTTAGAATGACTAAAAATCCTGATGTAAAATCCCAATTGAGAATTGCATAATTCAATTGTAGACAAAATATATAACTTTACAATAAACATTTTTATAAGAGTATGCCCCAAAGAGGGTACACTTACAATTTGAAAAGTAAAAAGCAAGATGAAACACAATACTGCTACATTCAGACAACGATCCCTGGGTCGGTGGTGCTTACAGACCAAGGGCTACCTGTGCCCCTGTGGCCTTAAGACCATCTGACATTCAGTTAAGAAGGTAATTATAAACCTATTAACCTCTTAACTTGAAATGTTGCAAGAATATATAAGCAAGAACCTGTGAAAAAATTTTTAACTACACCCTTTGTATGAACATAGAAAAAAATTTAATATATATTTTATTCTCTAATTTTAAAAAGTCAATACTTTTCATCTTAAGCAGCAAGAATGAACACAGATAAACATGAAGTCACTTTTAGAGAAGCTATAGTAAATTCTGTGGAAAATACTTTGGGAGAACACCTCAAGAACCTTACTTCAAATATAAAACAGATCCTTGCATTAAAGGGTCTTCCAGTGTTTACAAAAATAAAATAGGGTGTGACCACACATGATACAGAAATATCTTCTAAACCCTTATTTTGGATTAGCTTTATAACTATGAACATTCACTCCAACTTGAAAAAGAACTATAGCACTATTATGATAACAAAAAATTAAAAACTATCAAATGCTTAACCTTATAGAAGAAGTACCTGTGCAAACCTATGAACATAGACACATACTCTATAGCTACAAATAAAAAGTCTAACTATATTTTTCAAAAACAATATGATTCTATAAAAATTAAACATTTGGGTTATATCAATACATGGAAATGTATATATAAAATACTATTAAGTGAAAAACAAAATTTAAAATGTAGTGATTACTACCATGTAAAAGTAAATATATTACAATAACAAAACTGAAGTGAAATTAAATTATAGAGAAATAAATAGATTTAAATATTCATTAAGGTTGTTTCTTTGTTACTTAGGACTATAATAAAAAGTAGACTATTGTTTTAGATGAAACTATATTCCTAAATGATAAATAATATTATACATGAAGTCCTAAAACAGAGATTTTATAAACCATATTTCAATATTTCAAGTTATTCCATCAACAGAGATCAGCCCACATTTACTATGTTCATTTGTAGAACTTTCTGGCAATGTGCACAATTATATCTGCCTTTCTTTAACATAAACAGAAAGCACTTTAGAGCATTGTTCAAATAAGAAAACCAAGTAGCATGCTCACAAAACCTATCTACTTAATCTGCTTTGCTTCTGCAAAAAGCCACCAACAGAGAGCTTTAAAAAACTAATTCTATACACATATTTTACATAACAGATTTATGCTATAAATATTTTAAAGAATGGCTTTTACATAATTCTTTATTTCAATATATATCTTATTGATTTAATTGCAAGTTATACAAACACATTCTTTAAGATTTATTATTGAAAATTATTCTCTACATGATCTAGAAAATGGTTAATTTCTTGGATAAAACATAGCGTATTTAGAAGTCCGAAAGCCAAGTAAATCCCTTATTTCATTTCGGAACTTTGACAGATCTTGGCGCAGCTCATTCAGACTCTCCACGGTTGCCTGATCTGTGCTCTGCATCTTCTGTCTCACAGAAGTCAGGTAACGGTGCACCAAGCAGCACATCACTTTCTGGTAGTTTTCATCTCTCTTTTGTTTCAAATTTCTCCATTCCTTCAAAACAAACAGGAATAGGGTACTAACAGTGGGCATAAACAATATTTAAATGAGGTAGATTTTTAAAAAATATTCACAGATACAGACATATATCTTCTAATGCTTTATTAGACCATGCTTTTGCCACTCGGTTATAAAATAACATTCAACACTTGCTTAAAACAAATATAGCCTGCATATTTGCTTCATTCATTCACATGTATGCCTATTTTGATTCAAAAATAGTTGTAGGGATCCTCAATTTATAGGAGGAATTAGCAAACTATGACCCACACACGGGTCAAATTGACCCACTTCCTGGTTTTAATGGCCTGTGGGCTAAGAATGGTTTTCCAGATGAACATTTGTTACTAGTTTGGTGACTGGGAACAGTAAATTTTTTTTATCCTTACCTGAGGACATTTTTTGATATTTTGTTCAGGTAGAGTGGGAGGGGGAGAGAGAGAGAGAGAGAGAAACATCTACGTGAAGGGGACACGTCGAGTGGTTGCCACCCACACGACCCAACCAGGGCCCAGGACAAACTGCAACCGAGGTATGAGCCCTTAATGGGAACCGAACCCAGGTCTCTCCAGACCGCAGGCCAAAACTCTAACCGCTGAGCCAAACCGGCCAGAGTGGGAACAGTAAATATTTTAAATTGATTTTTTAGAGAGAGAGAGAGAGAGAGAGAAACATTGACTTGTTGTTCCACTTATTTATACATTTAATGGTTGATTTCTGTATGCACCCTGCCTGGGGACTGAACCCATAACCTTGACATATTGGTATGATGCTCTAACCAACAGCTACCCAGCCAGGGTGTGAACAGTAATTTTGAACCCCAATTAAACAAAATGTTATCCTCCCCAAAACAGAATTCCATTCTTTTCATTAATAGATCTGTATAACAAAAATTATTACTGAATTGTTACATTTTTAATTTCATCAATAGCCCAGCCAGTGTGGTTCAGTGGTTGAGCATCTACCCATGTACCAGAGGCTGCTGGTTCAATACTCCGGTCAGGGCACATGCCCAGGTTGTGGGCCAAATCCCGGGGGTGGGGTTGGGGGGGGGGAGCATGCAGGAGGCAGCTATAAGATGTTCTCTCTCACTGATATTTCTATCTCTCTCCCTTTCCCTTCCTCTCTCTCTAAAATCAATAAAGAAAAAAATGTTTAATTTCATCAATAAGTTTAGTGGAAATTTATGTTCTTTCTTGTTATATTACTACTCACATAAATTCTTGCTTTTGTCTCAGCCTGTAAAGTCTAAATTATTTACTATCTGGCCCTTTACAGAAAGTCTGCCAACTTCTGGTTTATACAGCAACATGTACCGAGTTATTCATGTATTGAATAACTTTCGAAGAGCCAGAAAAATATAAGCTGACTATAGTAGTCAATCATTATTTATGCTCACAGAATAGGGATTCTGAATATTTTTCATGTTTTAAAACCTAAAAAAGATTACATGAAAAAACTGCAGCTCTATCTCTCATTCTCAAAAATATTTATTGAATTTTTACTTTGTTATGTCTATGCCATGCCTTAGGGATACAGGAGTAAAAGAAAATATCAGACAGTCCCAGGCCTTGAGAAACCTGTATATTTATGCCTTAGGAAACATCTGAGATTAGGAATTTTTAAAACTTCTATGTTGCAGTTCTAATCTCTTACCTTTAAACTGTTTTGCCGTTTAACCTTGCCTTTTGATGTATGAGAGCAAATCCACTTACTGAGGCTACTAATCATATAGCAGATAGTCTTTGGTGAAGGAATGATGTTAAAAGGTGGGGGTAACGTACACTTGTCATCAAAGTAGCTAAGCCACAACTTCGCACGAGCAAACTTCCATTCTTTGTCTTCATGATTCTACAAAAGGCAACGAAGGAGCAGCACAGGGTACGAGCGCACGTGCACACACAAAGGGGTGGGAGAGAAAAAGGGATCGTTTAGATAATTTTAAACTGTCCACATGTTTCCACATCTTGTAGGTAAAAATTTGGTTCAAGATTTGCTGTTAATATACATTACTTGCATTAAAAAATCTTCTTTTAAAACGATACTAATTCTTAATTCGTAGACTATTTGGTGCCTTATCGATTGTATGCAGTGGTGTGGCCTGAAGAGAGTACAAGTTTTGAATAGTGGACACTCACTGCTATCAGCTGGAAGCTTTTATGGAGCATGGCCACCAGCAGCTTGGTGAGCACAATCACAACCACCACGTTGTATGTCCCGACAATGACAGCTCCAACGAAGGACTGCAGCTCTTCTCCGTAGCTGAATCTTGTGACAAAGATTGCCACATGTGCTAAGGAGAAAATATACCAGAACAAAGCAAAGCAAGTGCCAATGAACCTGTAAAGATGATTACATTTTTGTTTAAAAGAAAATTAAAGAAATCAATTAGCAAAAATGAAGAATTCATTTATATCAACATTATGTAAATAAAATATTGATAATCCAAGAATAATACTTTATAAATTAAATAAGGTGAAGCCAACAGTACAGATAACCTTACTGTAAACAAAGAGACTCAGAAGGAAAAGAGATTATTCCTATTTAATCTGTTATTGCCTTTCTGTCTCCACTCAACACAGCAACGTCTATGATCCTTTAATGCCTAATTAGACTGTCACTCCTCTGCTCAAAAATTTAAATGTCTATCTCAACTGCCCAAATCCTTACAAGGGCCAACAAGGCTCTACAGGATCCCCATTTCCTTTCTGCCCTCATCTCCTACAGCTCTCCCTCGGACCTTCCACACCCCACCACACTGGCCTCCTGGCTTTCCCTCAAGATGCAGCCACACTCCCATAGCCGGGCATCTGCCCGCCACTCCCTCTCTGCCAATGCTCGTCCTCCAGATGCCTCCTTCAGTGACTGCCCCTTCACCAGCTTTACATCTCTACTTGGATGTCTTCCCTTGTGGGGCCTCCCCTAACCTATCTAAGACTGCACCTCTCACACATGCATCCCCCTGGCCCACGCTTTGTGTCCTTCGCCCTTCTCACTGTGTGACACACTGCATATTTTATTTCTTTTATTGTCTGCACCACCTCATGCGAATGTAAGTTCCATGAGGTAGTTTTGCTCACTGATGTTTCATTCACTCAGCACTTAAAAGAGTGTTTGGTATGCAGAAGATGTTAGATGAATATTTATTATTCATTTAATCTTACTCCCTAAACAGGATGACATGAAAGTAACTGAAGAATAGTTGGTACATAATGGGAACACAACAAATGTGCAATTCTGCACCCAAGCTTCTCCATTATTTTATTTAAGAATAAGGGGTGCCCTGGCTGGTTTGGCTCAGCAGTTAGAGCGTTGGCCTGTGGACCAGAGAGTCCCAGGTTCGGTTCCCACTAGGGGCACGTACCAAAAAAAAAAAAAAGAAGAAGAAGAATAAGGGGCACCCTGGAGGGTTTGGCTCAGCACTTAGAGTATCGGCCTGCAGACCCGAGAGTCCTGGGTTCAGTTCCCACTAAGTGCACATATCTCGGTTGCAGTTTGTCCCCGGCCCTGTTTGGGGTTGTATGGGTGGCGACCAGTCAATGTGTCTCTCTCACACTGATGTTTCTCTCTCTCTCTTCCTCCCTCTCTCCCTCCCACTCTATCTGAAGATAAATGCAAAAGTGTCATTGGGTGAGGATAAAAAAAATTTTTTTAATAAAAAAGAATGAGGGGTAACGAGGACCAAAGGGTCGTGGGTTCAATTCCAGTCAAGAACATGTACCTGGGTTGCAGGTTCAATCCCCAGCCCTGGTCAGGGTCGTGCAAGAGGTAACCAATCAATGTGTCTCTCTCACATCGATGTTTCTCTCTCTCTCTTTCTCCCTCTCTATCTCCTGCTCTATCTGAAAATAAATGCAAAAATGTCCTCGGGTGAGGATAAAAATAAATAAATATTTCTTATTAAAAAGGTTTCTTAAAAAACACTTGAAGTTCTATTTCTGTAGGTATTAATTCATACATAGGACAATAGAACCTATATAGGACAATAGAAAGAAAGAAATATATTTATTAACAATTTTAAAAGACACTCACGAATGGAAGGTGTCATTGCTCTGCTGCTCACAGAAGATGCCCACACAGTCCTTCTGTTCTTTCGGGGTAGAATCTTTATCATACAACTGTGTCAACCCAATTGTGAAAGAAAACAAAACAAGAAGAAACATCCCAAGAAATTTTCCAAAATCTTGAAGCATCTGTCCCATTGAAATCTGTGGATAGATTACATAGGTGTTCATTAAAATTATCAGAAAAACAAAATATTAAATATTAAATGACCAGGCAATAAAAGAGAGACAAACAAAAGAGCCAGAACTACTCCTTTTGTTCCATCTGGTTGAGACAGTTTAGCACTTTTATTTTATTTTATTTTATTTTATTGGTTTATGCAACTTTATTGAAGAAAAATAAATCAATTACTAGCAGAGCTATTCATTAATCACTCACCACTGACAACTTGCATCATGTATTCAGTGCTATATTAAACAATGTATTGGAAGACAGATTAACCAATAGCTCCAAGGCTCCTAACAATTTAAATGAAAATTACAAAATGTTTGAGACCCTATTTTGGAATACAAAGGATGTTTGACTTTCAATTTCCATTCTCTGTAGATCAAGAACTGGTCATTCCTTTATTGACACGCATAAAATACATCACGTTTCCTGTTCTACTGATGCTATAAATTCAATACCAATCCTCCAGCCACATCCGTTGAGCATAGAGTATATCACGTAACCTCAGACCTCTAACGGTGGAAGGCTTAAACAGAATGGATGCTGCTAGAATGCTGCTGCTTCCTTTGATGTGACACCTGAGCACCCATCTCCCTCCCCCTCAGATGAGTTCTTCAGCATGTAAGAGCAGTGAGGAATGGTTTGTCTCATAACCAAGTTAGGGTGAAGACACTGGCCACATAATTCACAAGCTCCATTTTTTTAAAAAATTCTGAATCTTGGGCAACTGTTCTCTTGTAACTACTTTACAGTTTCTAAAAGCAGTTATTGTCCAAAGCTGGAAGAACAAGTCTTCTCAGAAGAGCATGTGAATGAAGAGAGGGAGATAAACAAAAAATAAAATTAAAAATGATGAGGTCTGATAGAGGAGCAGCTGGATAAGAAAATCAAAACAGGAACAGTAATTTAAAATTTATTCCAGCTATAAAGCAGGTTATTCTGACCTGGCATCTTCTGAGTCCATTCTCGAGATATTCTGCTGCACTTCTATTTTATAGATCCATGCAGTCTCTGGCACTAGGGGGTCATCTGGGTTTGGATCACATAGCAGTCAACAGATGGGTAAAAGAACTTAAGAAATAGTGAATGCAGGCGACCACTGTGATCTTAGAACATTGAGACAAATGCTGCCATTACTGTTAATATTTGGATGATAAATTCTTGTTGTAAATGCAACTTTAGGTGGTTTGAAGGGGTAGTCTGCAGGAAAATGAATTGTCAAAGAGAATACACTGCCTTGATATGGACTGTATTAGGTTCCATAATTGTGGGTGCCAATAAAACATATCATCCCCAAATGGACCCGCAGAACTCTGTGCTGGAGGGTCACGGGCCAAATCACTATGTTCCTTATTAATCCTTTTCAGCACCATAGTATGTCTTTGTGTCTGGTTCCTCACTATCTCGGTGTGTGCTCAGAGGTCTGGCCAAAACTCGGGATTATCCTGGCGGCAGGGAAGGACTGTCTCCCGTCTCACACCGGCTCTGCTGGGCGCAGGCGCTTGGTGTTGAGGCGGCTCTCGTGCTAATCTCGTGGCTGGCTTCCAGTTTAGCGCTTTAACCATGAAAGCCCAGCTGCCTGCCAAAAGCCATTCTCATCACTGCCACGTCTGCAGATGATTTTGCTGCTGAGAAGGTGGAGGTAGAAACATGGAGATCTAAGAAAAAGCCTATTTTGTAAGGAATAAAAGGAAATTTTCTTGCTCAAATATAAAGGGAAATAAATGCTTATATTTATAGCTTCTTAAAGTTTACACATATATAATCAATATGACATAAAGTATTTATTTTTGTAACCAGTCCTAAACCTATTCCTCAAGGACAGCATTTCCTCCTCTAGGACTAATCTCTTTCGCTGAGGTAATTGATTTTCTTTCATGTTGGCTCCATTATAAAAAAATATTATGTGTGCAAGCTAGATGAGAAGGTCCAGTATTGATATGAGCATCATTTGTAATGTAGACATATGTAGTGCATCTGGGAGCTCTATCCAAGCATAATGTCAGTCTTCTTCAATACTTCCTAAAAATCTGGGGAATTAGTACTTTTCATAAATTCTTAGTGTAAAATTGGCATACAAATTTGGAAAATAATTTGACACCACTCTTTGACTCAGCAATTCTTTCCCTACGAATTTAGGCAATAGAAAAGACGTACATAAAGATGCATATATCTCCGAGGATAGTCTCTGCAGCACTGTTAGAGGTAGCAAAAAATTAGAACATCCTACTTGTTAAACAACAATGGTTAAACAGAATGGTACAGCTATGTGTGCTGCATAGAAAGGTGTCCATAAAATATCAAGTCAAAAAAGTAGGGCATATAACAGTATTATAACAGCTCCCATTTCTATTTTTTGAAGGATATATCAGATATATATTTTTTCAGACAGATACGGCTTCATATGCATAGGAGACCTCTGGAAGTTTACACAGAAACTGGTAATAATGCTTATCTATAGGAGATAGTAGGGCTAGGAGTTGGAAGGCAAACTTTTCCACTTTGAATTTTCTTTTCTATATGCATTTATTACTTAAAAAATATTTTATTGAGGTTTTGAAAGAGGAAGTGGGAGGGAGACTAACATCGGTGAGAGCGAAGCATCAATCGGCTGCCTCCTGCACACCCCCTACCAGGAATCTAGCCCGCAACTGGGGCATGTGCCCTGACCAGGAATCGAACCAGTAACCTTTCGGTGCATGGGACGACGCCCAACCAACAGAGCTACACCAGCCATGGATGCATTTATTACTTTTAAAGTACAAAGAATACAGTGTTTAAAAATAATCCTTCCTCAAATTTAACCAGGTCAAATTTATATAATTAAATTCAGCTTCAAATAAAATTCCTAATTGCCTCAAGTCTGCTAAAATAACATAAGCCACTCACAAATGACAGAACACTCTAACCGCAGGAAAGTGGTCAAGCCCGGCTACCCACTGAAGGTAGCCCACTGAGTAAGTACAAGAGGCGTGCCGAACTTCTTTAGGCACATCACAAGGCTCCGCAGTGTGAGCGGCCTAACTTGCACATGTGACTAGATTATGTGGTACTTTCAAAATCTTATGCTTACCTCACTTGCTCACCACCTTGCAAAATTCTGACAAAAGAAACGGAGTTTTTAGAATCAGAAAGCTCATAATGTGTGGTCCACCTTGGAAAAGAAATCATCTATTCAGATTATGAGTGCACAGAAAAAAGCCATACCGTACTGGTAGAGAACTTAGTGAGTGATGACAGCAAGAATCCAATAACTTCTTTAAATGACTACAGAAACGATTGCCTTTGAAGAAAACTTAGATGCTGTAAACTTATAAATAGGCTTTTCCAAGAGTGACCATGCATGATGTTATAATTTTAATTTAAAAATGTAGTCCCCACCCTGGCCAGCTTGGCTCAGCAGTTAGAGCATTGGCCTGCGGACCAAAGGGTTGTGAGTTCAATTCCAGTCAAGGGCACGTACCTGGGTTGCAGGTACTATCCCCAGCCCTGGACAGGGTCATGTAGGAGGCAACCAATCAATTTGTCTCTCTCACATGGATGTTTCTCACTCTCTCTTTCTCTCCCTTCCTCCCTCCTTTCCACCCTAACAAAATCAAAGGAAAAAGCTCAAGTGAAGATAAAAAAAAAATTTTTTTTTGTCCCGAAGTAGAAGAGAGTAATTTGACTTTAATATGAAGGTGAGCAATATTTAGTAAGAAGACCATGAACTTCCTGACTTACTCTTTAAAGCATGCCGTTGGTTCTTGTGTAACACTGAAACCAAAAGCAGGTACAGTGGGAACCGCGAAGGTGACATCAGCTCAAGGAGCACGCTAACCATTTGTGGGAAAGGCAAACACTAAAAACAGCACATTCACTTTAGTTTAAGAAAGAATGTTTACTTACTTAAAACATATTAGCAGTTTTACTTGAGACACATGAAAAGAATTAAGAAGTGGAAAGAGAAAGATAATTAAGATATCAGTACTGAAATTTGCATAGCAGCTAACACTAATACTAATACACAGAGAAAAATATATACATCTTTCCTAGTAATCAGAAAAATAGAAATTAGAGAAAACTACTAAGATAGTGTAACAAAAAAAACAGCACTGAATGATATCAATGTGGTGAAAACAATGCTTTTACGCTGCTTATATGACTGAAAGTGAACACATTCTTTTGTAGAGAAGCAGAAACACTGAGGCACTCACTCTAAGGATCACCTCTTTTGATATGTTAATGCCACTGAACACTTATTCTTAGAAGATGATTTAACAGAGGCAAAAAGCCTCATACACAGAGCACTGTGTTGAACAGCAAAAACATGCTGACAAAAGGAAGCAGGAACTTCTAGTCATTCTTCCAAACCTTTCTCCAGAAAATGCCATAATTGTCTATCTAAAACAGTGGTTCTCAACCTTCCTCATGCCGTGACCCTTTAACACAGTTCCTCATGCTGTGGTGACCCCCAACCATAAAATTATTTTTGTTGCTACTTCATAACCGTAATTTTGCTATTGTTATGAATCGTCATCGGAAATATGTTTTCCAATGGTCTTAGGTGACCCCTGTGAAAGGGTCGGTCGACCCCCAAAGGGGTCGCGACCCACAGGTTGAGAACTGCTGATCTAAAAGTTCCCCACCTCCTTTGCATGTGTAATAGTATTCAAATTTCTTTCAGCCTCACCTTCCCAGCTGTAATCTATGGTCCAAGTACAAAGGCCATCCAGTCCAGCTGGTGTGGCTCAGTGGTTGAGCATGGAACCATGCACCAAGAGGTCACCAGTTCGATTCCTGGTCAGGACACATGCCCAGGTTGTGGGCCCGATCCTCAGTGGGGGGCATGCAGGAGGCGGCCAATCGATGTTCTCTCTCATCAATGTTTCCATCTCTCTTTCCTCTCCCTTCCTCTCTCTAAAAAAAACACAATAAAAAATAAATTAAAAAAAAGACATCCTGTCTTCTCGTTTACACTACTCTCCCTTTGTTC